CTTTCTAACAGATTTTTTCTGTTCCAATTTTGCTGGAGTCATGATACTTCGCCAATGTATTGCAGATCTTTGTAGTATTGTATCAAAGTTTCATACCTATAACTTGCTGTAGTGCAGTAAATGTTAATGTATCTTTAAACTGCCATGTTTCTTGATGGATATTTTTTTCTTGACCACCGTATGCAGCTCAGAAATAACGAGCAAATCAAACGGCTCATTTCTGAGTCGTGCATGAGTTTATAGTAGCAGTGTGAACGTGTAGCATTTCACTATCCAGGTACGAGTTTTTGGTAAATACCCAAGAACGCAATAACCAGAGAAGTTTCTTAAACTCCAGTTATTGTATTACTTTGCTAATGCTTAGCCACCGTTTAGAAAATTGTTCACAGCTAACTGCGCTATTACAGCAGTTAAATATGACAGATTTAGTTTAAACTGCTTTTTTTCCTTATCTTTAGAATAGTTATTGTTTATCATCGTCCTGTAAGGTTAACAGAGCTTAAACAGCTGGGTAACCCAGATTTAAGATGTCTTCTGTAAGGATAGAGGTGATTCGTTGTCTGTGTAAAAGATTAGATTCACAGGTATTGATACGATGAAAATGACATCTGGAGAGTTGGTTATGGCGCCATAAGACAAGAGTAGCGCAGTCTGCCTAAGAGACTACCGCAAAATCCAAAATAAAGGAAAGTTTTCTGTTTTCCAAGACCTTAAATCCTGAAAACCATTTGGCAAACCGCCCACTACTTAGCGACATCATCTTTCGACGCCATTGATGAGTGGAGACAAATCTGCCAGAATTCCAGTGTGTCAAACAAATACCTAATCGACGATCCGATAGGAATTCTGTCCAGCTTCCACTTGGCCGTAAACAATAGGCAACCTTGAACAGAATCCTCACTATCCCTGTGAGAACTGGGCACCAACTTCAGAAGTGGCGCTACAAAGAAACTCCATGTGAGTGCAGCTACGCAAATCAGATAGTTGACCACACCATCATCCAGTGCGAGTCAAGAAAATTCGAGAAAGGAATCGGCGCATTACGTACGTTGGAGATCGATGCTACTGCTTGATTGTCTAAATCAGATCTTGATTTATAGCCGTTGCTGCCATAAACAAGAAGACTCATGACTTCTCAAAAATTATTCTGTGCATTTTCCCTTTGGGCTTCGTCGTTCCAGTGCAACACTTATCACCCTTATGACGTGGAATTCTGTTGGAAGCAGTTTTGTGCTTCTGCCGTTGTAACTGAATACTTAAATCTGAGTAAATCAGCCAGTGTTCGTCTATGAACAAATGGTAATTCAGTCCGTAGAGTATTTAACTCATAGTCGAAAGATTTCAGGTTTTAATACTCGACTGAGTCACTTTCCTCTTCTGAGCTGAACAAGCACCTGAGTTCACCTATTCATTAAATTCACTGTATTATTCAACTGCTTATTTCAGGTGGTTGTTTGCCTTGTTGCCTTGAACAGTGGATAAATTTGATAAATATACTGTCGAAAAGCAAAGCAAGTTATGAGATACGCAAGATTCTAACTTCCACACACCAGACACCAGCATCCGTCAGTGGCATATTGGTCAACGATTTTGTTTCGCAGCCGCTTTACACATGTTTTAAAAGGTGAAATTTCGGTTAAGACTAGTGCCAAAACATTTCACATACAAATCATACTTCATTTTGTATCCAAAAATGTAATGATACGCAAGGCTGAATCACGCTGTACTACTCCAGCAGGCGTTACCTATCGAAATGCAACAGTCGTAAACTATTGAAGTCCATTTTTCTAACTTCAAGTGTTGTTAAAAACTTAGCTGATGAAGTACATGTCTTCTGAGCTGCGTATTCGCTGTTTTGTAGTAGCGGTTATTTTTTATTTGACGAATCAGGCACCATCGTCAATCAAATAACTTCACTTTTATGTGATTTATTTGTTGAAAACTGGCTAAACGTTCCCGAATTACGCGTAAAGTAATTCCCCTACCTGGAAACAAAAGTATCCTCTAGTAAATTAAATTTCCATGTAAGGAGAACTCGGAAATCACGGAACATGCGGCAGATACAAGGACGAAATGATATGCTAAGCGAAGATTGATTAAGCTTTTTCACAGCTTTCGCAAAAGAACTGTTAAATAAATGACTAATACATGGAACTCGCATTTATATTCCAGCGGAACAAACAGTTGTGATGAACTGGAGTACAACTGTCCTCTAAAAATTTCGGTGATGCATGGACCGCAATTTCTATTAATGATTTAGGTATTTGAATGACCTTAATTACTTCGACGTGCCTGCGAAACCTTGTTCGTGCTAATCTTAGCAGCATGACAAAGGACCTTCGAACAAGCTTTGGCTTTCATTAATGCAATATTTCGAGTGATTCTTTGAGCTTTTAAAAATGAGATAAAAATGCGTGAGTCTCTGTGAGAAATTTTGCGTTGATATAAGATTTATGTTATGTAGCATACTGTATTGCGTTAAAAGTAAATTTTTGTTGGATTTCAACATTTCATTTACTGTTGAAAGAGCATAGAAATGACGTGTTATTGTACGGCTCAACGATGCACGTAGTTGGTCGGTGATAGACCAGCATCGACATTTCAGCCCGTATTTTACGGAACTTTTATGATATACGGTAGCTGGTATTTGTAGGCGGCGATGTGACTGTGTGCAGCAGCTGATGCATGAATCCGAAAGGCGAAGTTTCACACCAAATCGTCCACTGCAAATTACCACACATCTCACCTTTGAGAAGGACTGTGGAATGCCAGATATAACTTCGGTCATTCGACCTATTGAACACTTGCTTTGTATAATAATAAACCGCTTTCACCCTCGTTTTTTAATGTGACTATCAACGCACGAAGAAAGTACTCATTTTTTCAGCCTTCACTAGTTGCTTAAATAGTCAGCAAAGGATTCAGGAATCATGCAATTTATTTCTGGGGTAACGTCATTCAGGGTCTTCCATCTCATAGTAGTGAGTAACATATTGACTAGGTCGGACTTGGTATCTTTGCCTCTTATGGCTAACTAGCGGACTGGTATCGAGTTCTTCGGGAAACGTGCAGTAGTGTAGAAGTGAGCGTGGATAAATTCACTGTGGCACAAAATGTGGTATTCACCGAAATGTGACTTAATGTGTTTCGGTTATGAATATGTTTGCTAGCAAGTTTTTTTACTAACAGCTGTAATCGCTTAGGTTTCTTACTGTTTCCATGTTTCTGTGTCTTCAATGTACTGTGATTTTGTTAAATCGGCTTCCATCTGAATTATCTTACTCGAATTCTCCCCTTATGCTACAGTAAAATCTTGTTGCTCTACTACGGTACGTCGTACGTTCCCGCCATATTCTTATTTTGACCTTTCTTATATCTCCTGTGTTACAATCTCCTGATAAGTACAGTTGTCTGGGCCAAGAGATAAGCATGCAGCACGACTAGGCTGAAGAGATTCAACGAAAAAGGAAGTCCGGTTGGCGCCCGTTTCGTTTCATCAGCGACGTCCTCCTAAGCAACATCAGGAAAGAAACTCGCGCTCACCCCTTTGGGTTTTACCATCCTGCCGCCAGTGCTGTATAGCTGTGAGATGTGGCCACTTACAAAGTCATGGAGCGTTAGTT